AAACAAAATATTGCTAAATTATCTCCGCATCCGTCCCCAATCTTTCACGACTTTCGTCTCCACTAATCTCCGCATCCGTCCCCAATCTTTCACGACTTTCGTCTCCACTAATCTCCGCATCCGTCCCCCATCTTTCACGACTTTCGTCTCCACTAATCTCCGCATCCGTCCCCAATCTTTCACGACTTTCGTCTCCACTAATCTCCGCATCCGTCCCCAATCTTTCACGACTTTCGTCTCCACTAATCTCCGCATCCGTCCCCAATCTTTCACAACTTTCGTCTCCACTGATCTCCGCATCCGTCCCCAATCTTTTACGACATTTGTCTGTACGAGATTGCACAATTAACTCCAAATCATCAACACTTTGCAACGAGCCAGCTTTTTCACCTTGCTCTTCTAATGATTGAACTTTCCAGTCTTTCCCAATGACGAAAACGCTGCCCTTGGCATATGAAAGAAGACATTCATCATCGTCTATTTCAGTCCCATCATCAGGGTCAAAAACTCTGTTTTCCGTAGGGTTTTTCAATCCTAGTTTTTCTCGACCTACACGAAATTTTAAAAATGGTCGCTCTAGTTATGTAAGAGAAGATTGTCTGGCGAACTATTATGTGGTTAAACTGGCCCAGTAAGCCAAGCATCTGATCTGTTGTTTATTGGTTACTGTATAACCTACTAGGAACTATGCATTCTATAACCTATGGCCATACATACGATGTGATACACATGCGATATTTCATGTACTGATGTCATATTCGATTCTGGCTCCACTTTTTAATTTTCCTATATCTTTCTGGGGTCTAGATGGATTACAGTAAAACAAACAGTTGGGAGGATTCTTGCCATCATGAGGGTTTGATTGTATAGGTATTGGTGGTAATGGTAATGAAAAGAGGATTGTATTTGGCATTCAACTGATTAAGTTTTTTGAAAAGATCAGCGTTCTTTCCCGGGGGGGGGGGGAGGATGTTTGCACGAAACATCGGCTATTCGGCTGATCTCTTCAAAATAAGACCGCATTAAACTTTATTTTTTAGTGTATACAGTGGCTTTACCAAACCTATTATGACTTAAAAATCACAAACCCGCTACTTTCGTTGTTAATAAGGGACCGGTCATTATTTATGGCGGGGGGTGGCACCGAAGAGAAAAGGGTTGGGTAAACAAAATTTTGAGCGAGTAAAAGGTTGGGTAAATGAAAAAGAAAACAACTCAAGCGTTGGGTAATAAAAATTTATTGTCACTTCCAAAGCATGACTCACTGAAATATTGGAGACCAAAAAGCACTGTCAACAGTCAGATGTCAATATAATATGTGAATCAATCGGAGTCACTATCTTGATAATATTCCGATATATTGAGAGACAGATGGTGTCTCCAAAGAAAGTACATGTGCAGACAACATGAAATTTTAGACTGCAGAAAATTGCACAAGCAGTTATCAAACTCATGTCACAGAAGTGGTAAAGGACATGTGTGACAACTGAATGGTATCCGTTTGCCAGGGGTGGGTATTTATTTTTTAATCGATATTTGAGGTTGGGTAATCAAATTTTTGGGTTTTTAATGGTTGGGTCAGCAAAATTTTTGCCACAAAAAACATTTCTCTTCGGTGCCACCCCCAACCATAAATAATGACCGGTCCCTAACCCGCGAAGAAAACTCGCGACAATTACATTATCTCAAGCTTCGGAAGCAATATTACGAAGTTACAAATAGACATTCCAAATCATATTTCAAAAACAAGTTGAAATCAGGAGTATTTATTTCTCACACAAGGCTTTTTGGTGCCATTTTTTCTGCCCCAGACATTTTTCCAGTGCCATTTTTTCTAGCCGGCCAATTTTTCCGGTGCCATTCTTTCCACAAGTTTTTCCTATCGTATTTCATATCTACGACTCTATTTAATTCTATTTGCTCTTAATGCCCGCAGCAATCCCTACCTTGCAGGTACCCTAGTTCAATACATTGTCATTGATAGTAACTGAAGATGGACAAAGATCACAATTTGTCACAATATAAATTATTAAGGAGTCATTTGCAATTCCGGCCCACTATTTTAAGCCATTAAGGTCAAATTAATATAGCGACAAAGTGCAATATGATTACAGAATGTAGATATAGCAATAAGATGAAACTTCGCACCTAAAAACATGTACCTTTGAAGTTTTGTTTATAAAAAAGCATATTTATTGTTCAACTTATGCGACTTAGCGAGGACCTTCGTAATTTAAAAATGAAATTTAAAGTCTAGCATGCAAATGACTTGACTTGCTGGGTTTTAATTTTTATTTTTTAAGTTAAATTACGCTTTCCACCCGGTGTATCAATCGCTACTGTTTTAAAGGACCTTCGTAGTTTTTTTTACCAGTAATACTGACGAAATGTAAATAGTGAATACAAAAGCCGGAAGTGCATGTGTTGTTCTCTGTCAACAAAAACTTTGCCTTTGGACTTTCGTAAGTTCTTACAGAATACAGGAGAGCGAAACCTCCTCAGTATTTGCCTTTTACTCTTAATGAAATAACCCTCTCCCTCATTTTGTAACCTTGACCTTGTATATTTCTTGTATATTTCGTTGCCTGCAAGCGGAGTGAACGCCTAAGCAGGCGTCTTGTTTGCTTGAATGCTTGCTTGTTTGCTTGCTTGTTTGCTTGCTTGCTTGCTTGCTTGCTTGCTTGCTTGCTTGCTTGCTTGCTTCCTTGCTTGCTTGTTTGTTTGTTTGTCCATTTACAAATTTCGTGCCGTGTTGTTTAAGCCTGTTTCAAACGTCGTGCTTCTCATGTGCCGAACGCGTTAGAAACAATAAGTAATAAGGCATTTCAGCTTGAGGAGCACGACGTTTTACCTGTAAACAGACCTTACAGTGAAAATACAAAAAGTGTCCCACTTCCGCTTCTGACTGTAGTTTGTTGTTATTTTTTATCCGCAAATACCGCGATAAAATTCAGTTTTCTCTATTTTTAAACATGATAATTTGTAGCAAAGGGAAATAATAAATTTTTCGGTAGTTTCATTGCATAAAACTAAAAGGTACGAAATTTAATCGCAGTGTTTGCCGATAAATCGGTAGTCGCTACAGTCAGAAAAACAGAACAAACCAGACACAGTAAATGCAGTGCCTTCAGAGTTCAGTGCTTTCACTTGCAAGGATTTTTCCATGCAGCTTAAGGGAATATTTACTATACCCTATTATACCCTAGTTGAAATTCCTTGTTGCAACAGCTTGCCCCTGGTTGCCAGAAGTGAGAAGTTCTCGTATCTTTCGCCTTATTCCCGCTCGTATTTATTTTACGCGAGGCGAAGAGAACCTCTGGTGGCTATAGGCTTGGGTAAATTATGCTCGAGAATATGGCTATCATACCCGAAGGTAGTGCTCGTTAAAGCAATGTATACGTAAAAACAGCTTATTATGCTCGAATTATGCTCAAGGAAAATTGGTACAAAAACTCGTACATTTTAAGAGAATATACTCAAGTTCTGCAGAGTCTCTCTCGCTTCTCCGTGCCGTGCTGAGAAGAAATACGAGAGGACTTTGCTCGCAGGTTACATTTCGCAACGAAACTTCGGAATATTAGTACTAATTTTGTGATGCTCTTTCAAGCTGTGATAAAATTTTTGTCTAGACTTGTCTAGATCAAAATTTTGTTCATTGAGGAATAGGTCCATTACTGGTAGAAATACCAAAAATAAAATACAGGAAATTGCAAGGATTTCCAAAACCAATGGCAATGGACCATTTGCATTATAGCCTAAATAAATATAAACAAAAATTTCATCACAGCTTGAAAGAGCATCACAAAATTAGTAAATATATTCCAAAGTTTAGTTGCGAATTGCTGTAAAATGCGGATAATATAGCCTTGCGAAGTTTGCCGTTTTTCAGTCATTTTGTATTACGCACGGGAAATTGACAGCCCAATCGGGTGTTGGGGCATCAATTTCCCGTTTGTAAAACAAAATGACTGAAAATTGCAAATTTCGCAAGGCTATATTATCCGCATTTTACAACATTTCGCAACGAAACTTTGGAATGTTACTAATTTTGTGATGCTCTTTCAAGCCGTGATGAAATTTTTGTCTAACCCAAAATTTAGTCTATAATGCAAATGGTCCATTAAACCAGTAAAAATAAACTTATAAATAGTATAGGCGTAACAAAAGAGGTACAGAAGAATCTGAGAATGCCATTTCCGGCGATCTAGAGTCTATAAATTTCAAAATTTGTGTTACAACTAGTCAACTGCAAGTAAAGTTTATATTTACGCTACATAGGATTAAAACTGCACTTTAAAACCTTCAAAATAAAATATTTTGGGCTCAAAATACTATCAAAATGAGGAGAAAAGTGATACGAATCTACTGGCATACGGCCGAAAACGAGAAAACCAACAATTCCGAAGTTATCATGGTCAAACGGACTGCATTTTTAATTAGTTTAATAATTTTGAGCGATTTGTCAACAATATAATTTCGCCGCTTATTAAATCTGCACATCAATACCTTCAAAATATAATATTTTTGGCTCAAACTACTAACAAAATAAAGAGAAAAGTGAGACAAATCCACTGGTATACGGCCGAAAAAGAGAAAACCAACAATACGAAAGTTATCATTAGGTCAAATGTGTTGCATTTTTAATTAGTTTAATAATTTTGAGCGATTTGTGAACAATACAATTTCGCTTGTCTTTCAAAGGCCATATTCAAATCGCTAGAATACTGTTGTTTAATAGTAATACATTTGCTATCTGTAAGTATCATTTCTTACGCTGAATCGAACGGTGGTACTTTTGTCCTTATTGAATATTGGGCGCATAAAAAGCAAAAAGTCGATCGTGAGTCGAGAAAAGAAATTCGGAAAACGTGAAGGATTATTTTGAGCGGCTTGTCGTTCAAAGGCCATAAATCGCTAGCTAGAATAGAAATCATCAAATCAATTTTGAAATCAATTTTCCATCCATAAATACAACTTTCCACGCTGATTCGAACAGTGGTATTGTTATCCTTGTCGATCCTGAGAGTACAAGATTAATTAATTTTCCCGCAAAATGAATAAATTTCGAGCACGTGTAAGGAATTTTTACTGGGCGATTAAGGAAACGTATTGATGCGAACACACTAACAAAGAAACGGGCAAACTCACAGGCAGAATATAATGCGGTGCAAAAATGGCACGGGCACCGTAATTACAGTAAACAAGCGGAAATGGGAAACCTTTTGTATTTTCACTATTAGCATCCAAGTTTCTTTCTGAAACGTCCCGGTTGTAACCGTCACGGCTGAAAACAATCTCATATAGAGTCAGAGATGAAAAATCGTCCCGGCAAACGTTCCATCCCGCCTCTTATATAAAGATTTTCGTGGCGATTTGTCCCGCGATTTTCTCTCGCTGGCGCATGTCATCGAGTGTATTTGTATGCAGTCGTAAGATCGCGGACAAAATCGAAAATCGCCATTTTACCCGCCGCTTAAAGCATATTGCCAATATGGGGGGAGGGGGCTTATATTCCAGAAGCATGGATGGATGTCTATACGGCTTTTTGAACTATGTCGATAAATATACTTTCTTGGCCATCAAAATTCGTCACCAAGTTACTTTAGACTTTAATGATTAGTGTTCTGACTAAAGAGTATAGGCTATATGAGTTTCCACTCAGGAAAATTATCCGTGGATTGGAACGGACAAGAAAATTTTTCTTTCTGTTAAAGTCATTAGTTCCAACCCAGAGCTCACAAGACAGAGAAAAATTTTCTTGTCCATTCCAATCCACGGATAATTTTCCTGAATGGAAACTAGCCTTATAGTATATATAGTATACGTACCTTTCCTCACCAATTCCGCCACACTGTTTGCCATAACAGCTTTCTTGGCTGTTCTTGACGCGTTCCAGGCTTTAAAAAAGGGCATCGTTTCCGTTGGACAAGTAATAGAAAGATACGTTTTTTTGCGAAAGTTTTTGCGTGCGACCTGGATGATCAGGATACGTACTGCTGTGATCAATTCTTTGAGAATAAAATTTTAGCCGGACGCTGGCGCCGCATAGACTAGTCGCTCTTGTTTTTCTTTCAAAATTGAATGGCTTCTATAAATTCTAATTAGGTTGATGGCTCCAATGGGTCTGTAATGTTTGTCTCAAGGGACTTACATGTAGTCCTATTCACTACAAATTCAGGTATTTGCATGCTCTGCTCTCACACTGATTTACAGTGTTCGCAGCATTCGATCGTTGGCTTGCTGCAGTGTTTTCAATTTATCATTTTCTTATTACTGAAACAGTGAAAATCTAAATTAAATATCGAAAATTCGAAGTTCGATTTTTACTGAATATAATATCAGTACGTACTGACTACGATTTTGTTAAAACTTGATGATTCGAAGTCTAAAGTCCAAAGAGTGAAGCCTAAAGAGTAGAGGTAATTTAATATTATTCTGCGTCATTAAAATGCATCATATTTTAAACAGATTTTTTTTAACATCGAAACTTTTGTTTACCAGAATATCCAGAATATCAAAACTTTGAACATCCTCCGGGTCGGATTGTTGAATATTGTTCGCTGACTACCATTAATTTTGATAAAAATATCACTGAACAGACTGAACTGCTGATTCGAAAGTCTGAAGAGTTTAAAGCAATAAAGGTGAGTCCAATCCTATTCTGCCATTATTCCGATCCAGGATTTAATTTAAATTTAAAAATAGAACTTTTTTCAAACAAACACAATTCATAAAACTTTATATGTTCAGCACAGCAGAATACATTAAAACCCTGCGTATAACTATAAGAGCCTATATTATAAGAACCTTTTTATCGTAATTTAGGGCCTGTTTTACTATACAGGGTGTATATAAAAATTGGACAATTTTAAAACCGCTCTCAGTTCCACAAATCTGTTCATGGAGTGAAAGTTTCGTTATGTATGGAATCTTTGGGTACTTACATTAAAATGTAGCAAACTATGAATATTTCGAAAATAGGGAATTTTTCGGAGAATGGCATGGTGTGTCCAAGGCATACTGCAAAATGGACTGTACTGGACAGGACTGATTTTTACATTTTATCTATTCTTGACCATAGACATGGACAGTCTCTACATTTAACAAAATACCGTTTTGCTTGGATAATTTTGAGTTATGTAATTTTAAGGGACGGACCATTATTTTTTTGGAGAGGGGGGGGATGGACATTTCGTCAACGCAAACAATTTTTTTGCGCCTGCTTCCTTCTGCAAACAATTTATTTTGTCCATCTGATTGCTGTGGATTTCATTCAACCTCGTTCCCAGGGCTTTCGTGTGAGGACGAGGGGCGAGACGAGAAAGCCCTGGTCCGGGCAATCTGGGCCGGTCAATTTTGCATTCATATTGATTGTGTAAAAATAACTGAACCCCCTCGTCGCACCGCGCGTAAGAAGGGCTCTGTGTACGAGAATGAACCTGACAGTTGACAATAACAATTCAACATTTGTATTTTTATGATTCTAGTGTGTACGACTATGTTTTGCAAAATAATCTTTCAAAGTAAGACGTTTTCCCGACTGCATCATTTACTTTCGCCTCGGCCGGTTAGTACGGTTACAAAACTCAAAAGCCGTGTCGACGTGAGCTATGATGTTTCCTGACAAAACAAGAAACGTCTACTGTTATTTAATCTGTGGTTTTCTTTGTACAGTATTTATAATGTAGTGCAGATGTCTGATGAAACACTACGCGTATTGCATTTGTAGTAATATTTTAATTTACAATATTCTATACTGACAAGGGGCCATTCACAAAGGATGTCCGAGCCAAGGGGGGGAGGGGGGTTTGGAAAATCAGGACAAACTCGGACATAGGGGGGGAGGGGGGGGAGGGGTTTAGCTATCCGGATGTCCGAAATTTAAAAAAATTCAAAAACAAATTTCTTTTTCCCTCTATTTTGAGCAGTCCTTCCCATTGTGAAATTGGCATTTTGACTATGAGGTTAACACTAGATTTTGTTTTAATTAGTAATTTATATGTTTTTGTGTTCACATTTACCGTTATAAAAAAGTTCTAAAAGTAAAAAAAGTTTTTTACACTTGATATATACAAGGTTGCGTGAGTTTTTGCGAGGCATGGCGGATGTCCGGGGGGAGGGTCACTAATTCGGACAATGCCGGACAAGGGGGGAGGGGGGATCTGAAAATCCATCATTTGGCCGGACATCCTTTGTGAATGACCCCCAAGTAAAAGCAAGGCAAACAATTGAATGAAACTACTAAATTAATTTAGGCCCAGCTGTTTACTTAATAGCTCTACGCCTAGGGCCCTAGGCCGATGTATTCTCTACAACATTCGTCATGCCACAGGCGGCCCAATCTCAGAATGAATGATCAGGTGTTGCGGGTTTTTAACGGTTTTTATAAACAAATTTATAGTCAACCAAAACTATTTTAAAAACATTCTTAAATTAGTCATATAAATACATTTTAACAACAAAAAATATAGTTGACATGATAGTATAATACCTTTGCATTCTTTTAATTACTCCATGAGCTCATTTAGAGCGGTTGATGTAATATTTTCTGTGGCCTACATTGTGTGTGTTTATCTATATATAATATAACAGTTAAAGGCTAATCACTGGCGGCACAACCGCATCGCCTTCAAAGTCAAATATCTCCGCTCAAACTTCTCTTACGCCAAAACAAATTCGATTACATCTTTTCACAAAGATTTCTCTTTCTAAATAATATGGTTTGATCGTAGCTTGGGCAAATTTAGCGACGAACGGAACCAAAATCTCTTCAATTTCGGATACTGTTCAAAATACTTAGCCTTAGGGCTTAGTTTGTCGCTTTATGCTGTCCCACCCCACGTAAGGCGGTAAGGCGTTATTGTCAGTATGTATTGATTACGTCACGTCCACGATCGTGCCCGAGCAGCCCTAAGTATTTTGAACAGTATCCGAAATTGAGGAGATTTTGACTCCGTTCTTCGCTAAATTTGCCCAAGCTACGATCAAACCATATTATTTAGAAAGAGAAATCTTTGTGAAAAGATGTAATCGAATTTGTTTTGGCGTACGAGAAGTTTGAGCGGAGATATTTGACTTTGAAGGCGATTCGGTCGTGCCGCCAGTGATTAATAGCCTTTTACTGTTATATTATATATAGATGAGCACACACAATGTAGGCCACAGAAAATATTACATCAACCGCTCTAAATGAGCTCATGGAGTAATTAAAAGAATGCAAAGGTATTATACTATCAT